TTCCTATATATATATATATATTTATTTATTTATGGAACTTTGTAGCTTAAACCTTTGTAGTTTTAAAATCTGACGTGACAAAACAAGCTACAATATATTGCCGCTTGCTGTTAGAGATTCTCAACTCCAATGGTTTTAGCTAGGGACTTGCTTGCAATTTCAATAATTCCGTAGCTACTAGTTTGACCATTGGAGCTAGAAAACTCAATTAGTTTGGCTAAGCAAATTAGCTTTGCCAAGCTAATTGAGTTTTCTAATTTGCTTGGGAATTAAACTTTCCAAAATAAAATGCTCAATGTACCAATTAAGATCTTTTCATGAATTTTCTATCCAACAACTAATACTAAGCTAATAACCAGTCATTGGAGCAAAAATTAGCTTAAATGATAATTTGTTTAAAAGCTTATGTGGCATGGCAAGCTAATTCTCAAATTAGCTAGTCATTTGGAGTTACTCTAAAGGCTAAACACTTAGTATCTCAACCAACTTTTATTAGTGTTTTAAATTTCAGATAATTAATATTATATATTCCTTTCATTTACTAAGTAAATTAGAGGTTATTTAATTTATTTATTCTTCACAAGATTAGAGATATAACTACAATTGAGGTAAAAAAAATCGTAACATCCGAGCAATTCTCAGATCACTTAGATCACACACTAGCTATACAACCAATTGACATTATTATCAAATTAAAGAAGTACAAGGTACAAATTAGCAATTCGAGGCATCGCTCAGGCCGCACACTAGTTGATATATGAAATGTGCCAAGGTATTGTACATTTGTCTATTGTAAATACATTTACCAAAATTTCATAGAATGATAATCAATTGATAATATTCAATATACTAAATCGAAAGGACATACGGAAATAATATTTAATGAAATTCCTCCGTTATCTTTTAATTGTAACGTTCAAAATTTTGCATATTTACACATATTAGTTTGATTGTCTTTTTTATTTAAACGTCAGTTAAAACAGAATCATCTAAGAGTTTGATATATTCGACACAATATACACTATTAATTTTTATATATATATATATATATATATATATATGTTAAGGAAATAATAAAAAAAAAAGGATAGAATGTACATTAACAAGTGAAACTACCCAATCATAGAAGTAGAGCAAAATTAGTAAAAAAAGGTACAATGATAAACTTAGCTATGATGAACTTATCATCAGAAATAAGTTGCTCGACCCAACTAATAGGCCCAAAAGTCTGTTGACTTAAACCCATTATTTAGATTTCTTTTTTTTTTTTAAAAAAAAAAACAAACCCCATTATATACTTTTTTTTTATTTATCTTTTTTTATTTGCATCATCAGGGAATGCACAAGTTTTAAGAGAATAATACAATAATACTCATATAATATTGTGAGTGAGTGAATAAATTATTATAATAAAAGTAAGATAGAGACCATGAAAGAGAATTTAGAGAAGATAAATATTTAATATTTAATAGGGGATCATGGAAGAGATAGAAATGATAAAATAATTTAAGTGAGATTTAAAGTAAGAGAGAGAAATGATAAAGTATAGTAAGGGTAATCAACATTAACCCAACCCAATAGCTTTTTGTGCAATAACTTAAATGTGACCATTAAAACATTTTAAAATGCCTTTTGTGCAATAACTTAAATGTGACTAGTAAAACAAAATAGGAGTAGTATTAGATTCGTCTTATAAAATACGGAGTACTATTCATAAAATCGTGCCTCATGATGTGCCCAATCTAGAAACGTCACTGTAAACACCTAAAAATGTCTCCCCAAAACCAAACCCGATGATGAAAAACCTTTCACCGCCATTATTGGTCGGGTTGAATATTTAATCTTTGTAGTGCTTAAATCCATATTTCCATTTCATAAAACAACCCAATTCCTAGCCCATTTCTCCAAACCATAACTTATTTTCCTCTTTTCGTGCCTTTAAAACCCAAAATAATTCATTTTGTGTCCTTTAAAATCATTCATTTAGCGTCCTTTTTATAAAAACGTTTATTCCAGTTTATTTTGGTCCATAATATGGGGCTAATGATTATATATTTGGATTGGGCTTTAAAAGAGATTTCCAACGATATATTATAAGCCCAAAACTGAGTTATAACGAATAAGTTATGGACAAAATATTAAACTGAGCCCAAACCGAACCTAAGCCCACCTTACCTACGACCTAATGATCATGTGGAGGGTCCAAATTATTTAATCTCATTCCTAAACCAATTAGGATTAATTAGAAGCTTTTATAAGTTTCTAAAAGATCTTAATTATCCTTTTTGAAAAGATAATATTAAAGAGTTTGAAATTAATAAAACTTTTCTTTTTGAAAGTCCTAATTCTATCCGAATTGAAAGACGTTCAAAGATAGACATATATTATTTTCGTGCCTTATAGTTTTTATCCAAATCTTAGTGGTTGGATAACTCTTGAAATTATCTTTCCAATGATATATTATAATATCAATTTCGAGCTATAACGGAAAAGATATGAATGAAATATCAAACTCTGTCCAAAACTGACACCGTCTCACTATTTCGGCCATATATTTTATTCTAAAAAGGATTTTAATCTGATTTTAATTGGGTTAGAAAGTAGACTTCAACAAATTTCCAACGATGTATTATTTATCTTATTCCAAATTCTAGATCAAAAGATATGATAAAAACAAAAATTGTAAAAACTGCGGTCTATCGAGTTTTATTCCGATTTAATTCGGATCTTATCTTGTTTTTTCGACCCTTCTTTTTTTCTCTATAAATAGAGGTCATATCTCTCTTTTTTCAATGATCAACAAGCTTGATAATAAAATTATGCTCTTCTCCCTCTTTAGCTTAAACACTAGCCTCTCTATTCTCTCATAATACTTCCCCTAAGCACTCTAAGGAGTCCATACAATACCTAAAGTTCTATACTTAAACCAAGGTGTGAAAGGTATAATAACTGAGGGTTTGTACCAAATCAAATCTACATTTATTTAATTTAATTTTATTTAATTTAATTTTCATTTGATTTATATTTTTTAATTGAAGTTACCAACAAAGGAACGTGCAGAATGTGAGTAATTAATTAATTTAATTACTCTTATTTTATTTTAATATTGCTAGTATCATGATTAGGTTAATTTATATGTGATTTGACTAACGCTATTATTGTTAAATTTCTTCCAATATTAATGCTTATTTTATTATATTTATTGATCACCATATTGCATGTTTAAAGGAAATATGTAATTGAAAATCACTCATAATAAGATAATTTGGACAACCGGTTTAGGTTCCTTTTTAATCTTGTTGTTTAATTTAGTCTAATGATAGTTTGGAGCAAATTGAATCTTTGTTTGCATGCCTTTGAGGTAGCAGGAATCACTTTTTATTATAAGAATCGAGTAGAGGCCAATACGGGCGAATGTGACTCCATGACTCACTTCGTACCATCATCCCCGATCCTCCTTTCGTGGTTCTGAACCTTATGGAGTTAGTAATCTCATGGATTATGAATGGGGTGTAACCTTCACGGGTCAATCGATCGTTGTTGCCTTCGTTGTCCCTTAATTCGTGGTTGCCTTTTATGATCCGTGAACGGTTTACAAGTTCCTTAAAAACTTGTTGGCGGCTCCCTACTTTCCTTGTCCCTAATCGTATGTCAATTCCCACTTCCTATGAGTGCCAAACATATTCACAACATGCTTTTAATGTAGACGCACTTCAAACGACGCCTACAGCCACCACTCACCAAACCTAATACAAATCAAACAAGACATCGGAGAGCCTCTCTTGCCGGGTCATGCTATGTTTAGAGCAAGCTAGGTCTAGTCCTATCCAATCTAAAATTGCACCCAAATTTGTTTGATGCTACAAGCTCACAACCCAAAAGGGCCCAACCATTCTATAATTCTAGGATTTCTAGCCTATAGTTTTATTCAAAATGAAATAAATATAAAGGCCTAAAGCCCAAAATCCAGCAATATGGTAAGTTGCTCTTCGCAATTTCTATCTTACTCCCGGAGTACCGTGCACATGGTACCCCAGATTTTATAAATTCATGTTATTTTGACATTAACTTCTTATTATTTCAATTTATTTATATGTTATTTTTAAATAAATGTATGTTATTTTGCCTTTTTTTCTCAGTCATCTTCCTCCCATACTCTCTCTTCCTCTCTCAGCTACTCCAACTCAAAATCACACACATTCTCTTCCCTTCTTCATCCAATTTTCTGGGTTTCCCAAAAATCAACCTCTCACTCTCTCTCTTCCTTTCACTACTCCAATTCTAAATCAAAGACACTTTCTCTCTCCTCTTTTCTTCTTCCAATTTTCTGGGTTTCTTAGAAATTAATTGATTTGAAGCCATTTAAGGGTTCAAATGTGTTCATGTCAAGAAATTTAGTACCTCTTGAAGTGTTCGATTCTCTTTAAACTCAAAGCTTCTAATGTTATTTTGATGTAAAACTTATTATTATTTCAATTTATATACATGTTATTTATAAATAAGTACTTGTTATTTTGTAAATTAAAAATAGCATGAATGGAGGTTGAGGTAAATAAGTAAATAACATGTTGTTGTAACAAAATAAGTAAATCAACACAACATTTAAGCAAAATAACAAAAAGTGTACACAAAATAACTCAAACATATTGTACTCCAGGAGTATATAATACTAACTGGTTACTCTTTACTTCCACGTATTTCCACTACACTTTCCGGCTACTTCGCTGCCACTTCAATTTTGCTGCCAAAACCTTCAAATTCAGCTTCTTCCTTGTTCAAATTCATGGATTAGCTCTTAGCTATCGTGGGTAAGCTTCTTCTTTCTATCTCCTTGCTTTATTTGACCAATTATCAATCTTGTGTTGTTCTATATATATGTGAATATGCCGCACAATTTAGTGTTTTAGTACCAATTTAATTAGCAAATTCATCAATCTTGTAGTTATATATTACAATGATTTATTCAACACCCAGAATTTAGAAAGGTTAGATTTTGAATCATGTTGATGCAATTTTCAACTAGTGTGGTAACATTTGTTAGAAACTATTCCACACAAATTGGAACAAGATTTCCTATAAAGAAACCCCAATTTGCCAATGTTAGAATACCCAGAATCTCTCAAGTCCCTAATGTGGAATGGACTGATGAGCAATTGCAAGTTTTTGAGGCTGTTAAGCGCTGCGAATCGGTTTTTGTTACTGGGTCTGCTGGTACTGGGAAAACCATGTTAGTTCAGGAATTGATTAAGACACTTAGGAAAATGTATGGAAAAAGGTATGTTTGTGTGACTGCTCCAACTGGGGTTGTGGCCTGTACTCTTGGGGGTCAGACCCTTCACTCATTTGCTGGTGTTGGCCTTGCTGAGGCTGATGCCGAGGCGTTGCTGCCTAGGGTTTATGGTAACAGGTGGGTTTGTAAGAGGTGGACGATGGTTAAAGCGTTGGTGATTGATGAAATCAGTATGGTAGAAGGGGAATTTTTTGATAAGCTTGAATACATTGCTAGAAAAGTTCGGTGAATAGATAAACCGTGGGGTGGTATTCAGCTAGTAGTCAGTGGCGATTTCTTGCAGCTGCCACCAGTGAATGTCGATAAGAATTTTGATAATCGAAAAGTATTTGCTTTTGAAGCTGATTCGTGGGATTGTTCATTTCAGTTACAAGTGGGTCTGAAAACAATTTTCAGGCAAACAGACCCTGAACTTATTAGGTTGCTTCAGGGTATTAGAAGAGGGGAGTTAGATGATGAAGGTCATGAACTTCTTATGCAACGTCGTTGTTCTGAAGAGCCTGATGGGGCTGTTTTGAGATTATTTCCAAGAATAGAAGATGTTGATCGAGTAAATGGTGCAAGATTGGAAGGTGTGGGAGAAGAAATTATTTTTTATGAAGCATATGATAGCGGGGAAAAAAATTGGATTGATCAATTGGATCGTGGATTAGCTCCGAAGACACTTCACCTTTGTAAAGGTGCTAGGGTGATACTAACAGTGAATTTAAATGTGAAGAAAAAGTTGGTGAATGGTGCTACTGGTACAATTATAGGTTTCCGAAAGGCGATTAGAGGTGACATTGCGAAGATATGTGCTGATAAGCTGTTGCCTATAGTGAAATTCGACTCTGGATGTGAGATGGAGACAGGTACTCGTACATGGGATCTAGTGATGGGAGATAAGAAGTGTGCTACAAGGATGCAGTTACCCCTTATGCTGGCATGGGCGATGAGTGTTCATAAGTCTCAAGGCATGACTGTGGACAGGCTTCACACTAATCTCTCGCGGGCTTTTGGTTTTAGAACGATTTATGTTGCTCTTTCCCGTTTAAGAACCTTGGATGGTCTTTCTTTCACTTCGGAAATTGACCCCAAAAAAATTAAGGCTCATCACAAGGTTTTAGAGTATTATAACAAGCATTTTTTGTGAGATTGTGTGCAACTGCAGGGTTTTCTGACTTGCAGCGAGTAATTATGATGATGTTGGTGGCTTGGTGCTGAAGATTGGCTAAGTGATATAGGTAGAGCAAGGTTCATAATGTGTATATTTTTTGTGGTTTAGTTCTGAGATGTGTCTGCAAATTTTTCTTCTTTGATTGTAGGATTATTGTTTGGTTTAGAATTCATTACGCAAGAATGGAAGTGTATTTTTCATCTATAGACAGGTGATATGAAAGTGTATTTTCCATCTATATTATCCGTCTCATCTTTATTTGATCTTTTCTGGAAATTTGCTGTTATGATATCATAATTATCCTAGCTATCGATATATGGCTCCAATGAGGTTGACAAGATTATGTCTAGGCTAGGCTTTGAATGTGGGCTGCGGGAGGTCAAAAGCCTGCTTGATGGGAGTTCAGTTCCTAGGAAGAAGCATTTCCAGAAATGTAAGAATATGAGCTTTGTTGTGCTAATGTGAAATCCTATTACTGAAGTGTGACAAAATATTGAAACAACTTGTTTTAAAGTTTGGTTATTGGTTCGATATTAGTTGGTTTTTTTTCTGACCTTTCGATTGCTGGTGGCCTTTCAACAAAATAATCAGAATGAGGAGAGTTTAACATGACTACAGTTTTACAGTACTTTCTGACCTTGATCCTTCAAAGATAATGGCCTATCCCAAGGTTTTACATTATCATAAGAAATGTTTTGATGAAATTCTGTGCAAATTGGTTTTGCTAATTGATGTGAGATCCTACAGCCACATGACTTTTTTGAAGCAATTGTAAGGTTTGATCACTTTGACATGCATTTAATTGCCATTGCAATATAATTGCAGATGTTTCTTCTCTGATTGTAATATTAGTCTAAAATGTAGACAATTGCATATTACATGGAAGTTACTTTTCCTTACATATAAATATCTCTCTTTCTTGCACAACTTGGTTTGTTCGTACATTAGATGTCTCTTAATTGAGTTTTCAACCTTATTCTTTTCTAGCATCTTCCTTCTTTTGTAGCCTTTTTTTATTTTTTTTATTTTTTATTATTATTATTAATTTATTTTTGTAAATTACTGGTTGCTTCTAGTTTTTTGAATAATTTTTATCCAAGCTGCTAATATATGCCCAAAATAGCTCACAAGATTTTGGTTAGTCTTATCTTTGAATAAGGGCTTAACAGAGTTCAGAACCCTGCTTGCTTTATAGACCATGAGGAGTGTGAAGAGTCTAGTTGTTATCCTGCAAGTTTCCGAACATTAAGTTGTAAGTGTGTGGCTCGACTGTGTTCATGTGAAATTTACTGCTGCTACAAGTTATCACTATGCAATTCATGTTGAAGGTTTACACAGAGTTTAGTTTTGTAGTTCTTAGTCTGATTTTTGTGCTTTTTTTTTTTTTTTTTTTTTTTTCTTTCAATCTGTTGACTGTTTATGGCCTTATGAATAGATGCTGGACTTCTGGAGATACAGGGGAAGAAAAAACCCCTGCACTTTTGATACTATTGTCTAATATAGTTATTACTCTGTAATTAGTTTCATGATTTTCAAATCTACTAACACGATGGCAGTTTTTCTTCCTTCTCGTGGCGCTGCAGGGTAGTAGATTAGACTATGTCAGCTGATGATGAACATAACTGATACGGTATATCATGATATGAGTTTTTTTGACCTTGTCGCGACTCGCGAGAGATTGATACAATGTGGAAATTAGTGTTGGACAGATAACTGAGTATATAAATATTCGAAGACAGATGAAATCCAACACTTTGTTACTTATAAATCAGAAACATAAAATGGAATTTTTGTTTGCTAGTTAGTCTCCCTCGTCTCTACGACTTAAGGATTACAGCTTCATTTATCTACTATTTATAGTACTCCGTATATTATTGATTTCAACGACATCATTCAATACATTCATCCGACTGGCCATCACCTATGCAAGCCATGGTGAGTTGAGGTTTCATGACAACCAGTAAAACGGCTACTAAAACTAGTAAACTAACCACTTTCTTCATGATCTCCATTTGGCTTGATCGCATAGCTCATTGGCTCATTGCTACTCCTTCGTTTTGAGGATAATGGAAATTTGTTTTTTGAGTGATGATGATAAAGAGTACAGAAGGCCATGCTTTTATAATTGTTTTTTGGTTTGGTTCAGAATTAAACCTAACTATTTAGTCTAATTTAATCTCAAAATTTTGTTTCTTATCAAGATTAATCTAACTGATTTGACATGATATAGGCCTGAACTAATTTGTGGCATAATATGTCATTTTGCAAGACATATACCAGAACTAATTTACCAGCACACTGAGCTTATATTATACTACCTCTGTTAAATGTTATATGCAACTTTGGGGTATTATTTGTGAGATATAAAATATTCTAAAGTTGCACATAACATTTAACGGAGGTAGTACATCAAATCAAAATGACAACACTAATATTAGGAGCAAGGAAACAGGACACTATATAATACACTTGATGGTTGTATACTATGTTACTCGACTCTTTTATTTACCTCACGTGTCCGTGACGACACGACTAGTGTCGAACACCGACACCGACACTTGGACACTTCATTTTTAATTAAAACACAACTTTTTTCAAGAAAATGGGCGAGTTCGATACTTGGACACCCGTGTTTAATTTGACACTTCACCCGAGTCCAAGTAACATAGGTTGTATAGGATACAAGTATTCAATCATAATCTACCAATTGGTTGTTGGTGTAGTGGTGATTGAGATTACACTTGGTAGGGAGGACCGTGTTTGATCCCCCGCAACAACAATTGGGAGAGGAGTGAAACCTAAACACCCAGAACTGATCCTCGAATCTAGTTTAGCCCAAAAGGTAAACCGGGTAGAAAAAAAAAATCTATAAATTATACTTCCAACGTCTCCCTTTACTTGCAATACAACCTTGAAGCATGTAGCTAGAGGAGGTATATGAAAGGTGAACTGTTAAACATCGCCCGCAAATTCCTACATAAAGCCCACAAAATAAGAGTGAAATGACACTTTTGCCCTCAAACTAAAAAACACAATTTCTCTCTCTACTCTCTACTTCCACTTTCTCTCTCTAAATTATTTCCAGAGCTATGTCGAGGCGGCCCGGCAAGGAAGTGGCGGCACCGGCGGTGGGCGGAAGGCGGTTTGCCGGCCAGAAGGTAATTTTTTAAATTTTTGTAATTTTTTTTTTAAAAAAAAAACCTCCGACGACGGTGGGGCGCCAAGGCGAGACGCCACCACCACGGAGGAAACGCCTAGGCAAGACGCCCATACGGTGGTGGCGGTGCCTAGCCCAGACGCCACTACCACGGCGGCGGCGCATAGGCTAGGCGCCACGGCCGTGGTAGTGGCGTCTGGGCTAGGCGCCGCCACCACCGTACGGGCGTCTTGCCTAGGCGCCTCCTTCTCTTATTTTTTTTTAAATTTTTTTTTTGTTTTTTTTTAATTTTAAATTTTATTTTCGAATTTTTTTTTTTTTTTTTAAAAATTTGTTTTTCTTTTTTTTAAATTGTATGTTCCCTTTTTTTTTTTATCTTTTTTTTTTAAATTTTGTTTTTTTATTTGTTTTAATTTTATGTTCTATTTTTTTTTTTTTAAAAAAAAAATTGTTTCTGGTTTTAATTTTTAATTTTATGTTCCTATGTATTTTTTTTTTTGAATTATATTTTTGTATGTAAAAAAATTATAAGTTCCCTTTTTTTTTTATAAATTTTCTTTAAAATTTTGATGTTCTTCTTTTTTTAAGTTTTTGCAATTTTAAATTTTTTAAGTTTTGTTAGTTTTTTGTTTTTGGTTTTTTCTTTGCATTTTTGATTTTTTGTTTTTGTTTATGTTTTTTATTTTTTAGTTTGTTGTTTATATTTTTTGTTTTTGGTTATATATTTTGTTTTTGGTATATTGTTTTGTTCATATTTATATTTTTTTATGTTTATATTTATATTTTTTATGTTTTTATTTATATTGTGTTGTTTATATTTTTATTTTTTATGTTTATAATTTTATTTCCGTTACTTGTTTATTTGCTTTTGTGTTTATTTTCGTCCTTTTTTGTATTTATATTTTTTGTTTTTGGTAATATTTTTTGTTTTTGTTTTTGTTTATATTTGTTTTTTTTTTGTTTGTAGTTTATATTTTTTGTTTTTGGTATATGTTTATGTTTATATTTCTTATGTTTATATGTATATTGTCTTGTATATATTTATATTTTTTATGTTTATAATTTTATTTCCGTGACTTGTTTATTTGCTTTTGTGTTTATTTTCGACTTTTTTTAATTTGTTTTCGTTATTATGTTTCGTTATTTACTTGGAGTTAGGCATCGCAATTTGGACCTGGTGCGGGGAAGAGTATTGACGTCGTGAGGACTACGATCTACTCAATGGAGAGCTCGGGGCCCAGACACGTTAGATCCCGTGGTATTTCGGCCTCGGCCCGCAGAGAACGGGTGCACTGTTCTGCGGACGATCAAGATGATGATGATGATGATGAGGAGGAGGAGGAGGAGGAGGTCGAGGAGGAGGAGGTCGAGGACGAGGATGATGCAGATGAGGATGTCGACGATCAGAGTGGACCATATGATGATTACGGTCCATTCAGTCAGAGGCTTGATGATACGTATGAGACGCATAGGGTAGATGTGCGTAAGGGTCGAGATGGTAGGTTTGTTAGTAGATCTGGCACATCATCTGCGTCCACTGTGTCTGCGGGTAGCAGAAAACGGTCGAGGGCCGTTAATGATTCTTGGATGGTGAGGGGTGAGGTGGCCGGGGGACCTATAGACGGGAGTGTGATTCCTAGCTTTTTAGGACACATCGCTACCCGTATTTGGGAGGACCAGGAGAGGGCTTTGGATACAGGCATTTTGAAATGCCAAACCCGGGAAAAGACTTGTAGGTTTTTGTGTAGCTGGGCTGATGCTTGGCCGGAGGAGAGCGAGATGGTCGGGCGATTGAGGGGCACTAGAGTGAGTCACCTTCCTGCCACCATGCACGACAGGATTGACTGGACGCTGATCACGGCTTTCGTTGAGCGATGGCAGCCGGATACGAACTCGTTCCACCTAGTGGCGCCTGGCCAGGACGCCGGAGCCACGGCCTGGGCGCCTGGTCAGGACGCCGGAGCCACGGCCGGGGCGCCTGGTCAGGACGCCGCCACCATGGTGGCGGCGTCCTGGCCAGGCGCCCTGGCCGTGGCTCCGGCGTCCTGGCCACGCGCCACTACCATGGTCGAGGCTTCTCCACCAGGCGCCGTTACCACGGTGGCGGCGTCCTGGCTAGGCGCCACAACCACGGCATGGCCTTTTGGCTAGGCGCCAGCCACCATTTCGTCCTTACGATGCGTTACGAACCTCGTTTTCCGATGACGACGGCGATTCTCCGGTGATCCTCGGCGATCCGGTGCTGCTCCACATTTTTTTAGTGCGAAAAATTTATCTTCGGTTAAAATTATAAAAAGGGCAAATTTGTCAAAAAATTATAAAATGTGGGCTTTATGTAGAGATTTGCGGGCGATGAATAACAAGTCCCTTTCATTAACTATTAACTATAGTTAGATTTATATAATAAATAAATAAATAAATAACCCTGATCACCAAAAATCAGTCACCAACTGCCTAGCCACCACCTGCCCATCCACCATCTGCCAGCCACCATATCCCTTCCGGCATACCATCCCAAGTCCTCTGATCTCCGGCGATGCTACCCACCCAGACTCCCCCGACCACCACTAATGATGCGCCAACTCCACCTCAAACACCGCCACAACCCTTCTTCCCTCTCCTCCTTCTCACCGTCACCATCACTAGATCGCCGATCTCGGAAGCCCGACCACCCCCAGACCGATGAACCCAAACACGCATTAGATTTTGTAGATCGAACAAGGAGCGATCGCTTTAATGGAATTGAATGAGCGCTTGGAAGGGTCTTGCGGTGGCTCTGCTGTGGACTGAGTGCGACGGTGGCTGTTGTGGTCGAATAGGAGGTGCTTGTGGTTAATTTGGTGGCTAACGGTGGTTGTCTCGTGGGATTCGGCTGTTGGTTGGTTGCGGGCTGCTATGTGAAGGAGTTATTGTGCTGGGGTTGTGCGGTGATGGGTTGAAGGTGGAGGTAGGGAGGTGGTTGGTTGCAGGCTGTTGTGCGAGGGAGTTGTTGCGCTGGGGTCCGGTGGTTTGGGTGTGAGGTCGGTGTTTCAGATGAGGGGGTTGGGTGGGAGGTGGCTTCGATGAGGGTGAAGGTGGTGCTGGCTAGAGCTGGTGGGGATAAGGGTGGAGGTGGTGGTTGGGTTGGGGGTTTTTCTTTTTAGTTTTTTTTATTATTTTTTTTTTCCAAAGTTAACTATCGTTAGTTTTTTTAATTAATTAACTCTCATTAATGTCATAAGTGAGATAAGTTTTTTTTTTTAATTGGGGTCATTTTGTATAATAAAAAAAGGGGAGGATACCATCGGTGCGTAGCAAAAGTTGGGGGTTATCGTTGAGAATTTCCCTAATAAATTTTATTACATTATATATCTGTTTACAAAAGTACAAACAAATGATGCATTGTAGTATTGCACAGATTTCATCTATATTTTTTTATACTGTGTATTTTGAAATATGTATCACGTGTTTTAAGACATAATTATACACGCAACTATGTCTCTGGCTCATCGCTCACTGGCTAGGACCATGAGGACCACAACAATGCTGGCCTGGACCAATTAGCCTGCCTTAATTCCGTCCTCACATCCATTACAAAAATACAAAGTTTACCAAAAACCCTCCCCATTTATAGCATCATTTTGTTATGAGTAGTAACTATCTTTTCTCAGTTTCTTTCGTAACAATGCTCATATTGGCCATATAATATTACCTCTGTTTAAATTATTGCAAAGATTAAATATTTTTTACTTTTATATCAAATTATTGTAAATAATTTGAAACAGACTATAGTAGAAGAAAACAGACTAAAAAGGGTGAAAATTTTACCATACAGCAGGTGGTATGCTGCTTGGTACATCTCTTTAAAAATCAAAGCAACTACTTTCCTTTTTTTTTTTTAAAAAAAAAAACCCGAACCTCTGTTTTTAATAAGAGGATCTTTCCATATATATTTTGGTTGAATTAGGATAGTCATAAATTAGAAATCATATTTTCAATTTAGATATGAATTTCTAGAGAGAGAATTTTCTAGAGAGAGAACTTCATTGATAGAGAGAGAATTTCTAGTTTTTGGAGGAGAAAATGGCTGCTCAAGAATTTAGACCTGATTTCGATCGTTGATTTGCCGGTGATGATGATCATGAGAATGATGATAGTGGTGAATTTGATGATATTGTAATCGAAGGAAAAGGTAAATTTATTTTTCGCATTGATTTTGTAATCTTATTGAATTTGATGAAAGTAATTGGCAATTTCATTGAATTTTATGCAAATTATTAATTAATTGCTATATATATATATATATATATATATATATATATATATATATATATATATATATATATATATATATATATATAATTGTATTGAATCCTGACCTTGTTAGTGTATTTATGTTAAATTTTAATCAATAATTATTGCATTAGTTTATGCTCTGTTTTTTTTTTTAATTACACAAAGGTTGAAGATGATGTTCATTCTAAATTGCATTTATGTTCATTCTGCTCTGGTTTTTTTTTTAATAATTATACAATGGTTGAAGATGATGTTCATTCTAAATTGCAATTATGTACTTTTACTCGGTTTCTTTTTTTTGTCCGTTTATAATAGTTATAATGTTCTTTATTGTATTACATTATGTAAATTTAATTTAAACTCTATGTTCTTTATAATATTATACAATAATGAGCATTACATCAAAGTTATATTTATCTTTATTATAATGTACATTTATCTTTTCTTGTCTCTTGTATTGAATCTTGGCCTTGTTTTGTATATATGTTAAATTTTAATCAATTATTATTGCATTAGTTTATGCTTTGTTTTTTTTTTAAAATACAAAGGTTGAAGATGATGTTCATTCTTAATTGCACTAATGTTCATTCTACTTTTTTTTTTATTATATAAAGAAGATGATGTTCATTCTAAATTGCATTTATGTTATTGTACTCTAATTTTTTTTAATTATACAAAGGTTGTAGATCAGATGATGTTCATTCTAAATTGCAATTATGTTCTTTTATTCAATTTCTTTTTTTTATTCGTTTAGAATGGTTATAATGTTATTAATTGTATTACATTATGTACATTTGATTTAAACTCTATGTTCTTTATAATGTACATCAGTTTCTTCTGCTCATTTTTGTAATTTAGAATTAATGTACATGTATGTATATGCCAAAGAACATTATGGTCTGTTCAATGTACATTGTGTGAAACGATAATGAACATGTGTTAAAATATATTATATACAAGTCAGTGAACATTATATATTATTTTAATGAATTGAACATAATTCATATATGTAATGAACAATTTGTAATTTTACATGTACATTCGTTTCTTTTGCTCATTCTTGTAATTCAAAATTAATGTACATGTCTATATATGATAAAGAATATTATGGCTTGTTTCAATGTGTGAAACGATAATGAACATGTGTTAAAATATACTATCTACAGGTCAATGGTGATCAGCTTGCCATGATTACTAGTTTGTCTGAAAATGGTATACCTGTTGCTGATGCATATCGTGTTATAAGGGATCAAGCTGGTGGTGAAGCCAATCTTAGTTTTCTTCAAAGAGATCTTTATGTTGCTTTAAGTGGAGAAAAAAAGGAGTTTGATGGTTGTGACACAAAATAGTTGATTTGTTACTTTTTTTAAAGGAAAACAAAGGAGTATGACTTTATTCCTTCAAACGATTCTTTTATTTTTCATAGTATATTACCTTGAAATTCTTGTAATAGATAACATTATTATATTTTAAGTTTTAAAATTCGCCTATCTTTGACTTTAATTATTTTACAATTCCTTTTGTAATTGACTAAATAGCATTATACAACAAAGAATATTCTATGTAATTAAAAGAACATAATGTATCATATAAAGATGATATCATGTAAAGTTGATATTGTTTGAATTAAAAGAACATACTACATGAATTAAATAACATACTACATGAATGAAAAGAACATAGTGTATGAATCAAAAGAACATGCTCTTTTTATACAAATATCATAATAGGAAAACCTAATTATATGAATCCAACATCAATCATGGTTGTGTTTCTTAGCAAGAATATGTATATCTAGTTTCATGTTGTTCTAAATGTGTTTATGGTCATAAAGACATTCTAAAGGTATGTTTGATTAGCAGTAATAGAGATGGTGCCAAATTTCAACTAAATTTTGAAACAAAATCAGATTGTCAGCTTTGTCTAATAAGGAAGTAACCCACTCTTCTACTAATGTTGCTAACCATGCCATAAAACAACATAGTTGCCCTTTACGACAAAAAAAAAAAAAGGGATGCACAGAACAAAAAATAGCATGAAAAATGAATTATTAAAATACGCACACAATAATTGAACAACAACGACTTGATTAGAATGATTAGCAAAACAATAATTAAAATATGATAGACGATTTTCTAATCTAAGCAACTTCCTATCTATATTTCTTTCTTGCAAAACAAATGAGGCATAATTCATTAAAGAACATGAGTATTTAATGCAAAGAACATTATATAAATTTTTTAAAAAAACATTAGTATTATTTATAAAATCAAGCATTTAGAATAAAGTACATTCTACCTATTTAAAAGGAACATGCGAATATATATGATTATGAACATGAGTTTTATATACAAAGAACATCAATACTTTATACAATGAACATTTCTTTCCTTTTCAATTTCTAGTAAAAGTGATGGGTCTACAATAGCTAGCTTCTTTTGGATCTTCAACAATCTTTGCAACTTTATCACCTTTTTTCTTTTTTCCAGTCTTCTTATATATTTTAATGGGTTGATTGTCTTCAATATCTCCATCTTCAACTTTTTCATCACTGTAGCACAAACAAATGAACCCAAAATCACAAAAAATATCTAACGAATTGCAAAAAAAAAAAAAATCGAAAATCAAACAACAAAAAAAGTAACAAAGTGGAGCAAACAATTTCCGTATGAAATGAATTGCAAAAAAAAAACCCAAACAAATTCAAAATTAAACACTTAGGCATTGCGAAAATTATACTTAAATGCAGTTTTTGTCCTCCATATTCAAGAATTTTGGATTTAGAAGTACAAATTTCTTCAAAAATTTCTTAGGGTTTTGAAGTTTGAAGTTTTTTTGGGTTTTTTTTTTTAACTTTTTGAAAGAGAAAATCTAGAGAGAGGAAAACATTTATAGAGAGAGAAACTATTGTTTTGTCAAAATTCTAGAGAAAGTATTATACTGTAAAAAAATAATTTACTTTTAACTTTTTACCTCTTTCTTTTTCGCGTTCTTTATAAACTAGAGTTATGTTCTTTAAACACCCATGTTCTTTTGTTTCATAGTATATGTTCTTTCCGCCTTTTTATTAATCAAAGCAGCCAAAATACCTCCGCGTTTTATTTACAAAGTGTTGTCGTTTTGAATGGTCGGTACGGTACTCTGTACCGGCGCCTGCAGGGACCAAGCATTGAAAAAGGGCCAGAAGGAATAATAAAGGGATATACAACAAACATCATAGCATCAACTTTCTACATTTTTTTTGGCTTTCTTAGTCTCTAATTCTTAGCATTTTAGGCTAATTAGCTTAGATTTGATGTTGTTTAGCGATAATTTTACTATGTTTTGATATTACTGGAGCAATTAGTAACATTCTAACATCCGATTGTGATTATTAGTCTTGGACGTTACCTCTCCTCCTTTGATTTTCTTTCAATCGTCAGTCTGTCTATTCTTTATACGGTTAACATATATCATGTTCTAATAAATTTTATTACATTAAATATCTGTTTACAAAAATACAAACAAATCGTGCATTGTAGTATTGTAGAGACTTCATCACTACCTCTAACGCCGTCGGCTAGTGGTGATCGAAAAAGATCGTGTTGGTAAAGGTAAAGTTAGGGTTAGGGTTTGTTTAGTGTTCTTGCGGTGGGATTTATTCTCGAATCTTCTTCCTTTTGTGAGCTCGGGGTTTGTTTCGAGACTCCTTCTGCGGCCGTTGTTTGGTTTGACGGTGAAAGGTCTATCGGTTTAATAGGTTGTTTCCAACCTTCTGCGGCCGTTGTATGTTAAGCTCCTGTTTATATATAGTTTTGGATATCCGAGTTTCGGGTATTTTTTAGGGTTTGCCATTGGAGCGGTATCCTTTGGTTAACTAATACAATTGGTCAGGGCTTGTAGTTTGGTCGTTTCCTCTGATTTTTTTTACTTTGAAAATTTCCTATCTTAACACTGCTCCTCAAAATGAAATGTTTAGGGGCCTTCAAAATTCATTTTTGGGGGTTCATAGTATGTTAATGGTCTCCTTCCCGGAGAAGAGATCAATCGTACCCACAGTTAAGGGTACCAAAACACTTAAATGTGTGATTCAATGTGTGTTGTTATGCCCTAACCACTTTGTTTCCCTGCCCCATTTACTTTATGTTATTGACTATTGGTGGTGCCTTTTTCAGCTCGTTAATATGTATGCCAAAGTTTGTTTAAAATCCTCTTATGCATTCTCCAAGTTCAATGGAAAGTGGGATACAATAATAGAATGTTGTATTATATTCTATGTTGTATGTTCGAAGACAATTGGTAGATTTCTCACCCCGGCAAGATCAAGCACGAAAGTTGTCCTTTAATTTAATATATTCTCGTTGTAACAAAGGAGCTAGTAAGGCTCGTAGTTTGTAATAGTGTTATATTTATTTAATCCGTTGTTAAAAAAAGGGGGGGGGGGCTCTAATTCAAAGCTCATTAATTTTTAAGGGCAGATCCCTAAGGTATTCATTCTTGCCTTTCAAAAGGGGTTTCATTGACTTGCATTGTTTGCAATTTTGCACCAGTAACATTTTACCTATGATCATGACTATTGAGTAAACAAATAGGGACGGAGAAAATAGTAGGACTAGCTAGTAAAAATGACAATCTAAGTTTAATATGAAGTCCAAATCATTTATTAATTATCAAAGGGGACCAAGGCATTCAATTTCTTTATTGCCTTCCTCTCGTTATTTTCTTCTAACTCTACATATATAGGCATGGACCATGGTCCTTTCTTCCACCCCAGTTGTTATTTAAAACTAAAAACATGTGTTTTAAACTATTTATGTCGACGAATTCTTAATCAATTACATCAACATAATAATATTAATGACATTCGTGTTAGTAGAAAATAATGATGAATAGACAATTAACAAAAAATAAAAATAAGTATGTTTTAGCTCAAAGGTAATCGAAGGACAAAGACTTGTTTTAGTTTCTTTAAAATTGCCAATAACTAATTGAATAGAAACGAGAGTATGTTTAGCACGTTTCAAAAAAAAAAAAAGAAACAAATCTTTAGCTATTTTTTATTATATTTTTTAGTTTTTATTAAGCCATCAATCAAAAACTAACACTAATACCGATACAAAAATATATGATTGTATTGAAAAAACTAATAATTAAGTCCACAAGAACAAAACCTATTTGATTAATTATTGTCAAATACTCCCCCTAAGCTATCCCATAATATAGTACGAAAACTGAGTATTTGTTTTCTTTTTAGGTGTCCCATAATGTATAAATATTTGATATTTATAATATTTCTATTTATTGTAAATAATTTAACCATAATACTTGTATTTTTATTTACCTTTTCCTATACAAAATTTCGCTAAATTTCTCCAAAATTTTGTACCTTTAGATCTTTTAAATTTTCTTTTCCGTATGCGAATGAAGTATATCCATAGCTTCGCTACATACATGCCATTTTTTATTTCTATTTCCATATAAATAAATCTTGCTATTAATATTTCACACTCCCTTTACTTCCGTTAATGACCAATAATATATTTCATTATTAATTAATGTAAAAACATTTTCTATTCATAAACTATATATTTATTGAGAGGATTCCAACAAATATAAATCTTGCTATTAATAATATACTTGCATAAATTGTTGACAATTTTCAAAGTCGATTACGAGTATATGAATAGTGCAAAAGTCACGATATGGTGCACAAAATTAGTGGATGGGGGTACCTTGCTAGTCCTTAATTTCTTATCTTGAATGTGAACTCCAAGAACGCATATCTTATCTATAACGCATGCATGGATGGCTTATAAAAGAGGGCATTCTTCTCCCCTTCAAAACACACAATAAATCAATAATTCCTTTACACTCAAACCATTCAGAAAAATAAAAATTAAAGGAAATTTTGTGAAAAACTACCTATTATAATCCAGAATTTGCGGGAAACTACCTATTAAAAAAAATGTTGTAATTGACTACCTAATTTTTTTAAAATGTTTTAATTTACTACCTTTACGCCGGATTATGAATGAGTTTGACCAAAATTCTCCGGCGTTGACTTGGTCACGTGACACTTGTGAAAGAAAAGGGTCATTAAGTGTCACGTGATGGTCACGTGACCAAGTCAACACCGGAGAACTTTGGTCAGACTCCTTCATAATCCGGCGTAAGGTAGTAAATTACAACATTTTTCGAAAATTAGGTAGTCAATTACAACATTTTTTTAATAGGTAGTTTCTCGCAAATTCTGGACTATAATAGGTAGTTTTTCACAAAGTTTCCAAAACTAAAAGATGAAGAAATGGGTAGGAAGCAAGGTTCTTCTCTTGCTTATACTTGCCATTATAACCATAATGGTTGACACTTG